AATAGAAAGTAACGTACGTGTTTCGGCCTCCTGCTAATTCAAAATTTCATAACGATTGGCTAAGCTCAACCCGTTAAGTGTCAAGAGGTAATAACCAAAACACGAAGAAACTTTCTTATTTATGTTATTAGTAAAGATTTATTTGTATTTATTATTCATGTATTTAGCTAATTTTAACCTTACAACGATGTTTTCACTTTCGGTTGAGTATTGTGTACGATTTTGGTAATTATGTAAAGAGGTATTTACACTATTAACTAAACATGCTTGTATTGTGTTCCTAATAAAAGCGATCTGAGTGACAAGTGACTGACACTACTTATATGTTTGCGGGTGGCACATTCTGGTGTAAATAGTTTTTACTTAGGTTTTATTCGCATAAACTTTTAATATAAATTTTTAAACTTCTAATAACATATTAAAAGTTTTTAACAATGCCTTTATATGCCTTTAAGCCCAAATTATGTGATTATATAAATACGAATTCGACCAATTTAGAAGTTTGGACTAAAATTTAATTACAATTCTATCTTTCGATTATAATATCTCTAATACTAAGAAAGATTAAAGAATTTCTGTGATATTTTTATTAAAAAAAAAAAACAATAAATCATGATGCTAATAATATAATTAGTATTACATATACACAGAGTTATTTCTAATATATTTGTATAAAAGTTAGTAGAGAACAGTAATTTGCTATTTTTTGCAAAGTCAGGGGGTCTACCATGAAATGAATTCCGAATTTGTTTTGATTTTTTTTTGTTTTTCATACCGAAATTGGCCCAGTAAATGGAGCCATAAAACCATACCATAAAAGTCCACTAACGATACTTTAATTTAATACTTAATATATTTTTTTACTTGATGCAAAAAAAAATATACTTCATTGCATCAAGTAAAAAAATAATAAATACAGTAAATATTAACGGAAAGTGATACAAAAGGCGGCCTTATCACTAAGCAATCTCTTCCAGACAACCTTTTAGAGGACATTGAGAAAATGACAAAATGTTGATTATGATATATGGAAAATTATGCTGGCATATTCCGCATAAGTCTGTGTCTTAGACCACAGTATTAGTCATTGAGGGGTTGCGTAAATTCAAATATTTATTATTCATGTATAAAGAATGTCGCTTACTGACTGTTCGCCTCCGGACACAAGTGAGAGGAAATATAGCACTAAATTGTAATTTAATCTACCTAACGGATGTCACTTGGCTCAAGTACGAGTACATAAAATAATATCTTTTGTATTTACTTTGTATTTATTACGTGAAGCATATAATAGATAATAATATGGTAATAGTGATAATAAAGGTTGTGTAATTAATGTTCTGCGGAGGTTTTCTCTATAAATTACAGTTAGTTTCTCGAGGTTTGTATCACGTGTGACGTCCCTGGTGTTGCAGGCGTCCATAGAGTACGGTAACCATTTACTTGTTTGTCACTATATTCATAGAAATTACCAGAGAGAGAGACCTTGTACAGAAGTCATTTACTTGGGCACCTCTGCGCAATTCGTGTTTCTACCGTGAAGCAGTTGTGTTTGCATGACTGTGTTTCGGTTTAAAGGGTAGGATATGCCAGTGAAGTTACAGGGTATAGAGGAATAACACTCAGTCCTCAGGAATGGCAACGCATGAGGGGTATCATGGCGATGGAGCAGTACCATGGACATAACGATCATACTCTGTTATGTCCATGGTACTGCTCAAGTGTATAAGTGACGATTACCACTTTCAATCAGGTAGGCCGGGAACTTGTTTGCCATTCTAAATTGCATAAAAAAGGTAATGGATCCCCATAGCCAATAGATTACACAATTTAGCTTTAACTTAGAATTCACACACCCAAAACTAAATTACTGGTTAATTAACAAATTAACAGCTTACTTAACCGTGTTCCGGTGCAAAATCTTAGGAATTTACCAAGTGGGCCAACATAGAATTAGTCATAGACACACTTTTATCTTTAACGATGTTAAAAAAGTTTTGTGGTTTACCGCGCGACCGCATGGAGAATTGATGGTGCGCGCTACGCGCTCGATTTTAATATTTGGCACAGTAAATATTATTATCTTGGGCACTTTATTTTGAATAGAACAAAAATACATCAACCGTAACTCCAAGGACTTATAAAAGAGGCTAATAAATATATTTTAATAGTGATGACGTGATGTGGCGTGTGGTCCCGGCATAGAATAAGCCACTCTTTCCTTTCCCGTGAGTGTCGTAAAAGGCAACGAAGGGAGGGCGAGGGATGGGCAGCAGTACAAACCTTAACAAGGGACTTTTTCCATAAGGGGAGTTTTGCCTATAGTAGTCGCACTTGACAGCCTTTGGTAACTATAGTTAGGCTTTTAGAGATATTTTAAGAGGGACGCTATTGCCCATCCCTCTACCATTAAGTTACCTTAGTAGTTACCTGGACCACACGGCCATTAATTATTAATAATTAAATATAAAAATAAAATATATAAGATAAGATATATTTGATAATACAACGAAATCACAATTTTATAGATTCAAAGTCTATAGATTTTTTGTCTCTGGATACAAAATTTTTCTTTGTATAAGGCTTGTCGATTATACACAACATTTAGAGGTTTTATTAAACTGGACAATTTTTTTATATTGCTAAATTAGGCTGGTTAAAATTTAAACCGAATAATGTCATGCATTTTACGAAATATCCTTTTCTCGTCTGCACTCTTCATTGAAATCCAACTACAAATGGAGGATTATTATTATTATTATCATATCAGCCTTTAACTGTCCACTGCTGAACATAAGCCTCCCCCTTGGGGATTTTACCAATAGTTACTACGCTTGGCGGGCGGATTAGCTTAAGCTTTGGAGATGTTTTAAGAGGACACTGCTGTCTATCCCTTGCTCTGTCTTAGTTGTCTCTTACGACACCCACGAAAAAAGAACTGGTGCCCTATTCTATGCCGGGACAATACGACGAAATATAATACATCTTAAAAACTATAGTAATTTATCTCAGCCAAAAACGGCTGGCCAACTGTTGGCTGACACTATATTTTTAACAAAACATTTAGTGCTATTTTTCTGCATTGCTAGTAAAAATAAATATATTTTGAAATCTACACAAAATATAGTAATATTTTCTTTTTTATTTTACTAGTTTTTTTTTCCGCGACTTCTTTTGCGTTTTCGCAACATATCGACTGACCAGGATAAAAGTAACCTATATACTTTTCCATCCCAAATACTACATGCATGCCAAATTTTCTGAGGATTGGTCTAGCCAATAAAGCACTAAGTAATGACAAACAAATTCACTTTCACATTTATAACATTGAATAAGTGTACAACCGTAATAAAGCCATCGTTGTATTTTAGTACATAGACGTAAAAGTAAAACACTTATTTCTATGTCGTACTTAAATACCTACTTTTAACTTTACTATTGAGTTGGTGCCGGCGAGTAAATGGTATTTGGGATTCGAATAAAAAGCTGTTGACCTACTGAACGACCGCACATGTGAAACATATGAAATATGTGAATGAAGTAATTGAGCAATATGCCCTTTCGATGAGAAATTAATGTCAGAAAAGAGCAAAGGTTTTTAAAATTTGTAATTATAGGTGTTGTTGTTTGACTACAGTATAATGTTATACAACTGCTGGCAAAACTCACCCAAGGGGGAGGCTTATGTTCAGCAGTGGACAGTTAAAAGCTAATATGATGACGATTATATTTTGATACTCGACACTCCATGTAAGATATAAAATATATGATTTAAGTTTTAAAATAAATTTAACCTAAATAAAAATATATATAACGTATAAATTCTAATTTCGAATCGTACACAAGAAGTATTCGAATAAAATATTTTGATACTCGACACTCCATGTAAGATATAAAATATATGATTTAAGTTTTAAAATAAATTTAACCTAAATAAAAATATATATAACGTATAAATTCTAATTTCGAATCGTACACAAGAAGTATTCGAATAAAATATTTTGATACTCGACACTCCATGTAAGATATAAAATATATTATTTAAGTTTTAAAATAAATTTAACCGAAATAAAAATATATATAACGTATAAATTCTAATTTCGAATCGTACACAAGAAATATTCGATTTATCGAATAACCGCTACCGAGCGTAACTTTACACGCGTCGTCGGCTCGGATCACTAATTAATTGACTGTCATTACCACATGTTCAGTAATCTGGTTACATTATGTCTGTTTCCGTAAGTATTTAGATTTTTAATGTTATACAGTGATTTTTTTTTTTTTTTTTTTACAACACAGGGGGCAAACGAGCATGCGGCTCACCTGATGGTAAGTGACTACCGCCGCCCATGATCACCCACAACACCTACGGCATTGCAGGTGTGCTGCCGGCCTTTTAAAAAGGAAGTGTTGTTATTATATACCAGCTAATAGTATTTTTAGTATTGATGCAACCAATACGATTATCCGTAGTATACCTAATTATAATTACGTTTATGATATTGGTTACCTCTGTGTATTGCTAAATGTATTATCGTCATCTTCCTACCCCTACCCCAATTATTATTTGGAGTTAACGTAATATGTTTTTTTATCCATATTTCAAAAAGATTTGTTTCTATGACCAGCCGCCTGACGGACGTCAACCCTCTTTGGGAATCTTACTAAATGGACATTATTATTATATTTTTACGTGAATAACATACATTTTCTTACTGAAAAATATTGATAAATGTTTCTCTATGAAATCTACTACGGTATTCTCAGAAAAAAATAATTTTCGACAATGTCAAAAATTAGATAAAATCAGTGACGTTGCCACTCAAAAGTTCCACATTTTAGGCAATAAATTTCATTCATTACATTACATTCATTAATTCACTCATTTATAACAATATAAAAATTATTTGTAGTTAACATTAATTATTAACTTACAGGGAAATATATTTCATTTTCATTCATTAAAAAGAATCGTGCATCATTAAAATTTGACTCACCTGAAGCAAATCAGTTCACAGCGCTGCCCAGTATTTTCTAAAACAAAAATAAGAGATACATTAAAAATAGACCAAAATAGCACCACTATAGTTTTCGAAATTATTTCGTGAAAGCTATATAACAATCACAGATTTGCAACGGTCATGAACATGAACTTGAGTGTTACGATTATTTTACCTACGTGGCGATTCTACGCATATTCAAGTACGCGTGCGTTAAAGGAAAATGATACACAGGCAAAAGAGATACGATCCTAAATCCAACAAAGGTAGATTCGTCACACGCAAATAGGCCTATGCCCCTGCATGCCTGCATAACATCTACTTTCATTCATTAACGTTACAATGGTGGCATTACGCGACAGGTTGGACAGGTCGTAAGGAAATTGGCGCCAGCATTTTCGTTTCGAAATGAAGCTACAATAATGACAAATATCTAGATAATTATACCTTGTTAAGACTCGTATTATAAATATAAAAATGTAATGGCAGGAATGGCAACGCATAGGGGGCATCATGGGCGAAACAGTATACTCTGTTATGTCCATGGTACTGCTCATGTCTATAGGCGACGGTTACCACTTTCCATCAGGTGGGCCGTCAGCTTGTTTGCCATTCTAAGTTGTATAAAAAAAATAATTTGTAACCTCTTAACGTTTTAACGGCTGAGAACCAATCGTCATGAATCTATATAATACAAGTACACGTGTGTACTATTTGGAATAGAGAAGAACATAAGTATTTCCCTGGTTAATCAACATATAAATGTCATACAGATAAAGTCGGGAGTATACAAAAACTTTTTTCACAATATAGATGTTAGCATATCGCCGCGTGGTCCCGGCATAGAATGGGCCACTCTTTTTTTTCTCGTAGTTGTCGTAAAAGGCAACTAACTCCCTCTAAAAACACTACCAAAGCCTAACTGTAGTTGCCAACCTGCCTGCCAAACATGGCAACTACTGGTAAAACCCCTCAATCTATAAGAGAAGCCTATGTTCAGCAGTAGACAGATAATGACTTATATGATAATGATGATAGATACTGGCAAACATCTTTACCAAGTGAACGTATACCAAGCAACTTGCGCAATCAATAAAGTGTTTGAAAATATATTCTCAAAAACAAGCATATTTTGTAATACTTGCAGAGTTGCAGACAAACTGCAATGCAGTTTCGCGGCACTAAGAATATGCATTGTTGCAACTGTTTACTTGAAATAAATATATAAAATAACATAGTCATAAAGAAATAGATAATAGGGGTCTTTCATCTTTGGATAACATCATATATTATTTCATAGTATAATATGTATTTAAAACAACTATCTACTGCATGAAAGATTTTTTATAACACAAGGGACGAGCAGCCTAATAGTAACTACCGCCGCCCATAAGCACCAGCAATACCAAAGGAATTGCAGGTGTACTGCTGGCCTTTTAAAAAGTAATATGCTTTTTCCTTGAAGGTCACGATATAGTATCAGTTCGAAGATACTGCTGCTGGAAGTTGAAAGTTAAAGATGTTACTATACATTTTTACAACTATGGCAAAAAAACATTTGCATTTGTATTGATGGAGTGCTAAGAGTTGGTCATCAGGGTCCTTCCATCCTTTGATCCACTCTGAGTTAATGAAACTAACACTCACGCACAGGGGGAAAGGGATTATTAGTAATGGGGTAAACTGCCTTATTGTTAGCAATACACCCTATCAGGTTGATCTCCGCGCGGTTCCCCCTAGAAACCATCATGGTTAATTCTAGTGGAATTCGCCACGGTGGGCTAACTGACCTATTTTCATCGTCACCTATCATCCCTCACAGGTGTCCTGACCGCGTATACCGATAGCGCAGGCGGGGTTACATATAAACAAAAAAAAAACTAACGCACAATAACTCAATTACGCGGCTAAGTATGGAAAAGCCTGGATAAGTTGGATTTTTCTATTGTACCCTCATTTGTTCAATAAAGTTATTTAAGCAAATACACTAACTATATCCGGATAAAATATATAAGCTGACACTTAAATAGAATTCGACTGTGCTTAACTATCTACATCAACCAGATACTATTTATTATGTTATATAATTAAATATAATGGTAATGTAATATGATGAATAGTAGTCGATATAATTAGGCGATACGTACCTAAACCCACTTAGCGGGGTCTCTATTTCTATTCTTTATTGTTTCTCAACACCATCGACAAATTGCAGAAAGCGCAATGATCGATGATCAATAATTACGTGTATATATCGCGTTGCGGCACACACGAGAACAATATGAGAAATTATTGAGAAATGCCTTCTATTCGATTTAAATAATAGATAATCTTGCAATATGTAAATAGTAACTTATTGCTCCATTAATTGAATGTGTAAATAAATATGAAGTTACACGTGTTATTTCTCATTATAATTATCAGATATATGATAATTCATATGAGAGTAAATGACATGGACAGAGTGAAAAAGTAATTTGATACGGATAGAATATAGACATTAGAAAAATTTAGAACTGGTTTTGACCATAGAATATGTGATATTGGGATGTTAAATACTTTCAACACATTATATTTATTTTATGGGTAATTAAATCTAAATAAATATATTAATTTATATTACAAAACAGACGTTTTATAATTTCTTCTTAGGAGAAAAACTTTTTGAAATTATAGAAAAATAAAAGAAATTAAGTGAAAAATATTAGAGGTAGACTTACCTAATTACCAATATAATAACCGTAAAACTAGACGATGTTTGTGCATGGGAGAAATTTAATAAAAAACAACATGAGGTATTTTAATAAAATAAATAGAAGCCAAAGCAATGCTTTTTAGAAATTTTGTCTATCTGTCAATCTGTGTGTTTGTTTCGGCTTCACGCAAAAACTACTAGACTAAATTGGATACGATTTTTACAGTTATATTCCTGCAGGTCTAATTTAAAATCTGGTGTATATTTTATCGTGATATGTCATCGAAAAATAGCTTATTTCATTAGTTTTGCTACTAGAAGCTGATATATTTGGCGTGTTTAAACATAATAAGGCGCAAAATGATGCCTAAAACGCAAAGAATGACACCAACGGAAATAACAAAGCATAATACACCTACACATCGAGGTATGTGGAATTAATTATTGGTAAAGTACCAACAATGTTAATGTTTACTGCGTATTGTAAACTACAAAGACATGTGAACATGAGCACACAACTAGGTGCATACTACTTCTTATTGTTGTGTCATGACAAATAAATTGGTAAATAATTTACATAAAAAAGTAATAGCTAAACCTATATTCACGATAACGTGGAAGACATTGCTATGTAAAAGGTATGGTCTTTAGTCTGATAGACCGGTATCGTACGCTTTTCGATCACAGTAGGGTTAATACCGCTTGCCCCTAATGATTTATTTGTTACAGTTTGTGGCTTCTTTAATAATTTCATTGCAGCGGATTGATGGCTAACATGGAATGTCGTATATATGTATAGAATGGTATGTATTATGTTATATGTAGCCGCTTGGTCCCGATATAGAATAGGCCACTCCTTCCTTTCCTGTGGGTGTCGTAATTATGTAATAAATTTGAATTTAATATTTATTTAACTTATAAACACTTGAAGTTTTTTGTTCTTTACATTAAACATGGTTTACTTGACTAGTATACAATCCGATATGAGTATAAATAAAACTGTTATTAGTTTCAGCAAAGTTCAGAAATGTAAAGGGATTAGGTGATCACTATGAAGAGATTAGTTGTGTTTGCATGGCTGTGTTTCGGTTTGAAGGGTGGGATATGGCGTGAATTTACGGGGTACAGAGGAATAACATCTGACTCCTCGGAAATGGCAACGCATGGGGGGCATCATGGACGAAACAGTATACTCTGTTATGTCCATGGTACTGCTCATGTCTATAGGCGACGGTTACCACTTTCCATCAGGTGGGCCGTCAGCTTGTTTGCCATTCTAAGTTGTATAAAAAAAAATTCCCGAAGTTTACACGCAAAACGATAATAAATTTGTCCCTTTATTTTTACATGGCTTTTGAATTGTTCTTTTGCCTGGTTCTAGTACTTGTTCTGATTATATAGATTTTAGTCTGTGACAAGAGTCGTATGTATCATATATCACTGTTATTAATTGAACGAGACCAATCCGTATATATTTCCGTCCGTATGCCGTGTGGTTCTGACATAGAAGGGGATAACCCTTTTTGTCCTGTGGGTATCGTAGAAGGCGACTAAGGGAATTTAATAGTCGAGGATGAGCAGCAGCGGTTCTACCTAACTACAGTTGCCAACACTCCAGTCAAGCGTGACAACTATTGACAACACCTCTCTATGGGTAAGGCCTATGCCCAGTAGTGTAATAATAGTAATAATAATAAAAAAATCCGTACATTTTATTCAATATACAAGTGTCTACAAATAATACACTAGACAATTACTTATAGAACTAAGCATTTGTCCTTTTATACGATCCAGGTGTTTTGAATATAAATATGACTATTGAATATAATTATTCTTATATTTATACAGTGCAAATATTTGATCATTGAAAATACGCAATTTTACTAGTAACGTAGCACGTGCACCGAGACCTCCCAAGCACTTCACAAGTAGTTAATAATTAAAATAATACCTACTGAATACACCTGATTATTTGGGTCAAGATTACAAATGACTGAGACGTATATAGTTTGTGCAACTGCTGAGCCGAGCGTGTGCTGCAATTTTCGATTTGTATCTTTGTTTTATTCAGTTTTATATTGGCTATTTATTAAATTTTAAATAATAATCTGATCAAAAATACTTGTGGACCTTTTTAATTGTCAGATTTTTTTTAATAAAATATGAATAAAATTATGTTATAGGGTCCCGACTGTGAAATGGCCAACTAGACTTTGAAGCTAATGTTAATGCTAATCGCACCTTTTAATCAATAGTACACGATAACTCTATGCACTTATACATATGTATATAAATTTATCTATTTACTTATTTACGTATTTATTTATTTATTCATTCAC